GAAGTCAACATGAAGAACGACCTAACTCCGGAGCTGTGCCGAAAGAAACGCCAAGCGTCGAGAGCATTCAAGATTATCGAGGGAAGTGAAGAAGACAAAGAAGAAGACATATCTGCTACGCGCTAACCTTTTCGACACTGCTTCCTGCTTTGACGTACGTCTTCGAGACTTGGACTCTAGGAAAGCAGGATGAGCATATTGTTAGCGCCTCTCAAAGCGCTTTGGAAAGGGCGATGCTTGGAATTCCCCTGTGCACGCAAGTGCAGAAGGGAATGTAGAGTTCCGAGCTCCGTCAACGAACGGAGGACAGGGATCGAAGATCAGGTGGGCCGGACGCATTGTGCGATATAGTGACGACCGTGGGACCAGAGCGGGTACTGACTGGACCCCTCGAAACATCGAACGAACTCCAAAACGGCTGCCAACGAGAGGGTCAGACTTCTTCACGAAAGCTCTGAACGAAAGGAATGTTGATCCTCGTGTCCATGAAGTGAGGACGATTCACAGGACCACTTTGAATCGTGACAGGGAGAAATGGAGACGTTACTGGCGCCCGCTCAAGGAAGTCGACGATCAACGTGACGACAGGTGATAAAGTGAAGGCTCCCCCATGAGCTTCCGATCGAGATGGCCTAACCATGCAGCCCTCTGTTCTTGTTAGTGTCTCCATCTCATTCCATACACAGCATCTTCTATCGTCATTTGGCTGCTGCGATATCCTTGTTGATCACGTTCCCACCATTCGTTTGAAGCTCCTCAGTGTAGCTCTTTCGGACTATATTGCATCTCAACCTGGATGGTTTTTCGGCCTGCACGCAGAATCGCTCCTTCAACACTTTCATTTAGACAGGGCTGCTGCAAGACCGTTCTGACAACCTCATATCTAATCCGGTCCGATTGCTTCCTATCGCAAGCCTATCTCACCATCCTCATTTCTGAAATTGGCGTGGACGTGAACAGAGGCTCTATTGGTGATAGAAATATAGTATCACTATGAGGAAATCTAGTGATAGACTTGGAGGCTGAAATGATCAGTTTTGACACCGAGGCTGAACAGTTGCTATTTTTCTCTCAATCAAATGAGTGTTTTTTGATCCCATGTGTTTCTCTTCATGTCTAAGAGACCGTTCGTCTGTACCTGATTCGGCTCGTTGTGTATTATCAGTGTATCTTCAAATGCACCTACACTGTGTCCTTCTCGATAATCTCCATGGGAAGGTCATGACTTGAAGACAGGCCCTAATAAAAAATCACGTTACATAAAACAACTAGACAGTGGCCCATGTGTATGGTCGCTTTAACTCGCGGATCACTTTTTTGTACTTTTTGCCACGTTTATCCTTTTTTGTTGTTCTTCTGAATTCTCTCTGCCATGTTCATCTAATATGCTCACTTTCTTCTTTGTCATATTGTTTTCTTCGGCGATCTGCAATCCGGCGTAGGTAGTTCCGCCTTGGCCATTGGAATGCTGGTATTTGTGCTGGAAGCCGAGCTCTACAAGCACGGCGAACATAACATCTTGATCAAGAAATCGACGGAGATCCATCCTCGAGGAAGATGGCGGTGATCTCATCCTTATCTCGAGGGCGAAGCTCCGGCCACAACCAACATCTAAGTATGACAATGAAAATCTAGCTTTTGTTCTTCACTTCTCACTGGTGTCGCTTGACCCATGTAGTTTGCTGTTACTAATCAGTTTGTTGATACTCAGGAAAAGCCATCACAACCTATCGGTCTAATACAAGACTAGAGTTGGAGCACGATCTTCTGTGCGCGCAAGATCAATGTCAAGAAAGAATGCTCTGGAAAGACACCAACTTTTGTTGCTAGCAAGGCTATATACTAATTAATATCGACGGTTAGCTTATCGTTTCCTAACATACTTTGCGGAAAAAAATTCGTCTTTTACCGTGCGGCTACGTTTGTGACGAACCCTGCGTAGAGCTTGCCAGTGGGTGACTACAATTGACGGCGACTAGAATCTAATGACGAAATCAAAGCATGTCATGAGTCATCCTGCCGCAGCAATTCAGAAAGTCCAATTATTGACTGTGGGATTACCGCATACGTAGAAAGAACGGAATCTTGTAAATAACTTGCCCTTAACTTCCTGATGACGCATGACGGCATGATGATGGCTCCTACCCTTTGCGCAGGGTACAGTACGATGTCCCTACCGCCTGACTTGCATTCTCACAACCTCGATGAAAGGTTTCTTTGCAAGCGCTCCTGAATTTCTATGGTAGCTCGACGACCTATTTCTTCCGTTAGCCGTCGGAGATAGCACTGCGGCACATCCTGACCCTCCATACTACTATTAGGTGTGTGCATTAATTTCCGCCGCTGAATTCCAAGAACCGTTGCGCGAACCATGTTAGAGGTTTACCGGTGAAACCCATCATATTCTGTAAGGTAGGGTATTGGCTACCTATTCAAGGGCAGACATATCAGTTTTTCCCCAAAATCCAGTTGCTCTCAGACCGTTTGGTCATGCAGCGTGTTAAACCGTTTTCCCGGGGGGCCTTCTTCTGCTGTTTGAATTCAAGAAAATTGGCATTGAAGCCCACCGGATGTTTTTATGGAAGACAAGCTTAATTTTGAACGGACCTGCTGAGATGGTTTCTGCTCACTCGAGAGTTTACAACGAAAGCGGAATGTCCACTGTCAAAAAGTAATGATGTGTGTGCAGTTGGTGGTGGGATTAAAAGGGTGTTGTGTTCTATAAGCTGCTGTGCCCGAACGAAACTGTTACTGCTGACCGCTACGAACACCAACTTGACAGTTTGTAGGATTCTCCCACCTAAATGCTTCCCAT